CAGCTACTCCGCGTACTAAAGTTGTACTACAAAGTCGCCAGTTCTCATCTTGCAGCTCGCCAGCTACTCCGCGCACTAAAGTTGTACTACAAAGTCGCCAGTTCTCAGCTTCCAGCTCCACAGATTGATCCGCGCACTAAAGTTGTACTACAAAGTCGCCAGTTCCCATCTTCCACAGATTGCTCCGCGTACTAAAGTTGCACTACGAAGTCGCCAGTTCTTATTTTCCAGCTCCCCAGATGCTGTGCCTGCCACGAAATCTGCACCTCGAGGTTCACAAAGTGCTGCGCCTGCCACAAAATCTGCACATGGAGGTTCACAAAGTGCTGTGCCTGCCACGAAATCTGCAGATGGAGGTTCACAAACTGCTGCGCCTGCCACAAAAACTGCACATGGAGATTCACAAAGCGCTGTGCCTGCCACGAAATCTGCACATGGAGGTTCACAAAGTGCTCTGCCTGCCACGAACTCTGCGCATGGAGGTTCACAAGTGCTGTGCCTGCCACGAAATCAGCATATGGAGGTTCACAAATGCTGCGACTGCCACGAAATCTGCACATGGAGGTTCACAAAGTGCTGTGTCTGCCACGAAATCTGCACATGGAGGTTGACAAAGTGCTGCACCTGCCAAGGAATCTGCACATGGAGGTTCACAAAGTGATGTGCCTGCCACGAAATCTGCACAGGGAGGTTCACAAACTGCTGCGCCTGCCACGAACTCTGCGCGTAGTTCTGCGCTTGCCACGAAATGTGCACATGGAGGTTCACACGCGCTGCGCCTGCCACGAAATCTGCACATGGAGGTTCACAAAGTGCTGCGCCTGCCACGAAATCTGCACATGGAGGTTCACAAAGTGCTGCGCCTGCCACGCAATCTGCACATGGAGGTTCACAAAGTGCTGTGTCTGCCACGAAATCTTTACTTCCAGAAACAAGTGAAAACTCTAATCGCAATGGAGGGACGATTCCGACCATGGCACGAGACCGTCTCGCAACCGTCATTCCGCGGAGCTTCCCCGTCGAGGTTCGGAGAAGCACAAAGTGCTGTGCCTGCCACAACATCTGCCCATGGAGGTTCACAAAGTACTGCGCCTGCCACGCAATCTGCACATCGAGGATCACAAAGTGCTGTGCCTGCCACAACATCTGCAGATGGAGGTTCACAAAGTGCTGCGCCTGCCACGAAATCTGCACATGGGGGTTCACAAAGTGCTGTGCCTGCCACGAAATCTGCACATGGAGGTTCACAAAGTGCTGCGCCACGAAATCTGCACATGGAGGTTCACAAAGCGCTGTGCCTGCCACGAAATCTGCACTTCAAGAAACAAGTGAAAACTCTAATCACAATGGAGGGACGATTCCGACCATGACGCGAGACCGCCTCGCAACCGTCGTTCCGCGGAGCTTCCCCGTCGAGGTTCGGAGAAGCATGGAGGTTCACAAAGTGCTGTGCCTGCCACGACATCTGCACATGGAGGTTCACAACGTACTGCGCCTGCTGCGCAATCTGCACATCGAGGTTCACAAAGTGCTGTGCCTGCCACGAAATCTGCGCATGGAGATTCACAAAGTACTGCGCCTGCCACGCAATCTGCGCATGGAGGTTCACAAAGTGCTGCACCTGCCACGAAATCTGCACATGGGGGTTCACAATTTGCTGTGCCTGCCACGAAATCTGCATGGAGGTTCACAAAGTGCTGCACTTTCCGCGAAATCTGCACATGGAGGTTCACAAAGTGCTGTGCCTGCCACGAAATCTGCACATGGAGGTTCACAAACTGCTGCGCCTGCCACGAAATCTGCACATGGAGGTTCACAAAGTGCTGTGCCTGCCACGTAAACTGGAGCTAGAGCTGTTGAAACTGGAGCTGACTGGAGCTGGAGCTATTGAAACTAGAGCTAACTGGAGCTAGAGCCATTGAAATTAGAGCTAACTGGAGCTAGAGCTATTGAAACTAGAGCTAACTGGAGCTAGAGCTATTGAAACTAGAGCTACCTGGAACTAGAGCTCTGGAAACTAGAGCTAACTGGAGCTGGAGCTCTTGAAACTAGAGCTAACTGGAGCTAGGGTTCTTGAAATTAGAGTTAACTGGATGATGAGTGGTGTATGATGAGTGGTGTCTGATGAGTGGTGTATGATGAGTGGTGTCTGATGAGTGGTGTATGATG